AGATTTTACAAGAGAAGCACATCTAGAATCAGAAACCTAGAATATCACCATCATTCACGTAGGAAAAGAGAACAACTGATAGTTGAGGTGTGTGTGTGTCGATAAACATTTAGTGATAGTTCAGATATAAAATTTGAAAAACCGGATACACTCACTCAATAGATTAACTGCAAATAAGAAGTTCTTCAAGATAGAACTTCTAATGGACTGAATGAAACTTACTTGAATCAGTACACAAGGGAAGTGAAAAAGAAGGATCAAGAAGCTACAATAAGTTCAAAAGAATGATGAATATGACAAAATGACTCCTTCCCATTGCTAAAAGAAGAATTAATATTGCAGTTACATCAGAGTTCGTAATAGGAAGCAGACTGACTGAAGAGACAAAAAGTAAGATTTATCTATAAAATGTTTTTGACTTTTTGTGCTTCAAACTTTTGAACACACCTACCAACTTGTGTGTTATTGGTCCATATCTTACCATCAATCCATTTGCAAATTTTAAAATATTTATTTCTCTTCCGTATCAATCTGTCATTTTCTCTTAACCACAAGGGTCATTTGACAAAATGTGCACATAGAGACGAGAGGCCCCATTACCAAGTAGTTGACTTTACAAGCTATAGCATTTGTTAAAAATAGAAGCTGAATTAAATATTGGATGGTAGACCTGAAAACACTGAATTTGTTTGACAAAAGACAGGCTGGATGTATCTTGGTTGGTTTCTTGTCCCCACTGATTGCACAAAATTGGTTCTATAGTCTAGCTATAGTTCATAACTATATATAATTATGAGGGTAATTGAACGGAGTAAGAGTTTTTATTAGGAGTCTCCCAATACTTTGTGAAGTTCACCAAGCATTGATGCCAACAAAGAAGACTTTCCTGATCCAACCATTCCAACAATTGCAGCAAGTTCCCCCTTTCGAACCTGAAGATTTATGTGTTTCAGAACAATTTGATCACCATTATCTTCCCATGAAAAAATATTAATCTCATTAATTTTCCCTTCTTAAAATAAGAAATATGTATCTCTTTATTTTCATAATTTATATTTTCATAATCTCTATAACTCTTTATAACCCCCAAATTTAAATGTGTATACTTATAATTATTTATTTGATTTATATATATATATATATATATATATATATATATATATATATATATATATATATATATATCTAAAATTAAAAATTATGGATGAAGAATATCAGAGAATTCTTAATTAAGCGGCTTCAGAGACATACTAAATGACGAGAAAGATTAAATGAATAACTGTATTGACCGACAGATGCAGCAAGAACAATAATTTTCAACATTCAGCAAAGCAGAAATCGTCAACTGAAGATTCTTAGCCAACCTAGGGAGGTGGGGGACTATTGAATACAACAGAGGAGGAGGAAAAGAGGACACCCTGAATACCTTCAGAGATCCAACTGTTGCAGTTTCAGGAACCTCTATGTAAAGCTCAGGCACCTTGAAAGACGTGATGCTAAATTTAACTTAAAGGATGTATTGGACTCAAGTTAGAAGTTCTATAGAAGATAAAAATTCATGGTATCAGAGGGAAAATTTAACAAACAGATGAAATTTAAAATCCCTTACCATTAGGGTCCTTCTTGTGATGATTGTTAACTGAAGATAATGACTTCCATATTTCAGACAAACAACCTTTTTATAATTAGGAGAGCTGGACATAAAGCTTTCATTCATCTAACATCAAGCTTTAACTTAATAATTAGGTACCAAGTACCAACACATTATTTTTCAATTTTCCTCAAACTATATGAGATAAAGTAGCAAAGGCGGCGAAAGAGAAAAGCATTGTTAGGGCAACAGAACAGAAAGACAATAACAACAATCCAAGGGAAAATTTCACTCACGTGCCTCTGCCATTACCTTTGGGTAATCAACAAACAGTGGAGAATCAAAAATTGATCAATTCAGCTCCTATTATTGAAGTGCCATCAAGACGAGAGACCTGAGCAAGAGCAAATAAAAGCACCAGAAATTGACATAGAGGAAGCTTACTTTTTGAAGATCCAAATGAAATTCCTTGCCTTAACTGCAGAGTTCACAAATTGTCATTTCTTCACAGGGTTAGTTAAAATTTTTCTGTTTGTGGTACCATAAGCCAACTTCGAAAGGCACTAATAAGCGATTGTAAGCACAATTAGAAGTTATACACAAAAGGGATATTTCGGTAAAGTATGGAGAAACTTACGCATACATCAGAAGCCATTACTGAGTTGATTCATTTTGTGAAAGTCATTGATCATTAAGGTACTGAGGAATGTTAAAATGGTTAATGTTGAACGATGATGTTTTTTTACCTTAGCAACTAAAATAAATAAATAAAATAAAACACTTGTTTTTGCGAAGGTGAGTACTCTAACTTCTGAGACGGACCAAATTTTTAAGAATCGCTGATAAAATCATGCTTAGTTACAACATTAATCTTCAAGTATACCTATTTGTTCCAAAACAGAACACTGTTAGTTGAACAGTTATGAATTTGCATAATAAATTAAAAATATGGGATGAAATAAGGAAATACCTCAGTTCTATTTCAGCTTTAAGGGCATATATTTTGAAATACTTCTGTGTAAACGATATTTTTAATGAACATAGGATCTTCCATGTCTTCGTCAACATTTAGAATAGTTAATCCTTGTCTTTTTGTTACTCGGGATAGTGCTACATATAATTGGCCATGAGTGAATACTTGTTTAGGAAGATATAATCCAACATGGTTGAGAGAGTGTCCTTGACTTTTATTAATTGTCATAGCGAAACATGGTGTTACAAGAAGTTGACGTCTGTTTAACTTGAATGGCCACTTTGAATCATTAGGAGACATAATAATTCTTGGTATTGTTACTTTCGAGCCAATGTTTTTTCCGGAGATGATATTTGCACTAATAGACCAGTTACCAAGATGTGTGACAATCAATCTTGTTCCGTTGCATAGTCCTTCACTTTGATTTAGATTCCTCAGAAGCATAACTGGAGTTCCTACTTTTAACTGTACTTCATGATTAGGAATTCCAGGAAATCTTAAGCTATTTAAAAATTCCGTTGGGTACAATAGATCTTCATCATTAGTGTTCACGCTTGCTTTACACACATTGTCAGAGCTAAAATATGTTCTTCCTTCACCTTGAATCATTTTCATAATTGTATCATTCAATTCATGGACCATTTCATTTTTAGGAGTAAGTATTGCTCTTTCTTGCAAATATGTTGGGTCATTGTACTTCTGCAAGAGGGACGGGTAAACTGCGTCGACGATTGATCCGATTGGATCATTGGATGGCATTATACATATATCAGTAGGCACTTTAATAAGGTCATTGTAAACATCACTATAAAAGGATCCATCCCCAATTTGTAACAACCATTTGTCGAAAGTAATAACTTCAGCGGCTTCAGAATCAGATACTCTTCCACAACAAAGTCGCATATTTTGTTTCAGCTCATAAATTTTAAAGAATGTCCACAAATATGAAGAGTTGAGTGATGCATCTAAAATATCAGCTCGTGTTCCTTTTGGAATCACCGGTAGTATTTGACGAAAATCACCACCAAATACCATTGTAAGGCCTCCAAATGGTTTGTCTGCGCTGTTTTCATATTTTAATCGAAGGATATCTCGCAAGGTCCTATCTAAGGCTTCAAAACAAAATTTATTTGCCATTGGCGCTTCATCCCAAATGATTAAAGATGTTTTCAAAAGTAGTTCGGCTAACTGGCTTCCTTGTCTTATTTCACAAGTTGATTCTGCACTAATGTCCAAAGGAATATGGAATCATGAATGTGCTGTCCTGCCATTTGGTAATAACAAAGCGGCTATTCCAGAAGTAGCAACTGGAAGAACTATTTTTGATTCTGATCTCAGCCTGGAAATTATTGTATTCCATAAAAATGTCTTCCCGGTACCACCATGCCCATTTATAAAAAATAAGCGTCCTTCTTCATTAACAACTGATTTTATTACTGCTTCATAAGCTATGTTTTGACAATCATTTAAAAGAGCGAATGATTTATCATGTACTTCCTTTAAGAAACCTTTGTCATATTCTAGTTCCTCATTGATAAGGCGATTCCCTGTGTCATTCATCAAAGTGGAATCTGGAAGTGGCATTCCATGTATGTCTTTCAAACTTTTTCCTATCTTCAGATGTATGGTTTCTATCTCAAACAACGTATATGATTCAAGTTGTTTTTCATTTAACTTTAAATCTTCCAATTGAAATCTCTTTCGTTGTAATGATGTTATATCTTCTGATAAAATTTCATAGTTGCTCCTCCAAAGTTTGGACGAATCAGACACTTGACAGTGAATTAGTATCGTCACAAACAGATTTCTCAACTCATTTCCTGATGCCCAACATGCAGCTTCAGCCAAGCAGTCATTCCATTCTTTATCATCCTCCAATAATACCAATGCGTAGCATGCCTCCTTATAAGTATCATACCGGACTCCATTAATTGTTCTGATGCTTTCAAAAGAAGTGCTTCTTTTGACAAAATTAAGTAGCATTCTCATGTAAAATCGTTCCCCACTTGCAGGATGTGCGAAGTAAATTCTACCAACTGACTTCCCCTTTTTTCTTGTAGTCCATCTTTTGCATGTTGCATCCCAGACCCACGTGTAGGAAAATTTGAATATGTTAGCTATCGCGCATCCTCATATTCTTTGTTTGCCTCAAACCATTCCGTGAATTTTGTTTTTACTATATCGGGTCTGTTTAGTATGCTTTCAGGACACCTTTCTTCTTAGAATACTATGGTGTTTTCTCCTTGTAAATGGAATGGCAAACGCTCAACTGCTGGCTGTCTATGATGTATGTCAAACGAAAAGATCCTCCAGCAAGCTTCTGTAGCTGATATGTATCTACAATCTAGATATCTTTTGATCGCATCACGTTCTGTGGGAGTATTTGAGCATTCTATACCAATTGTTGCTCTATCAGATCCCTTATTCATATATTTAAATAGGTACTTCACTGATCTCGAGTAATTGCACAACTCGACATTTATATGTGCATCAAATTTGACAATCAAATTCCTGTTATACGGGACGACATATCTGTTATCTAAAAAGACATTATTTTTATTGACTTCAGTACCTGTGTTTCTTCTCCTATAAATTGGGAACCCATCTGCATCAAAAGTTGTTTGATTATTGAACTTCTTTGGAAAATGCTTGGTGCATTTTCCTTGCTTCATACATGGGCATCCTAGATTGAGGTCTCCACAAGGTCCATGCATCATGTAGTTCTTTACAGCTTTATAACCATCCGGGTCTACTTCCATATTGGGTATTTAAGCTGTTATCATTGTGTCGATATGATCTGTAGATGGACTTTTTAATATAGGTTGCAGGAACAGTAGTATATGTGCATGAGGTAGTCCTCTTTTCTGAAACTCAATTGTATATAAACCTGCAGAGTTAAAGGTATAATGTGTTTGTTAGGTTGACGGTAAAGTAATCATTTGTTTTTTAAGCAAAATGTAAGCGCTTGAATTAATAACTGGTGTATTCTGTTAGTATGTTGAAGTTTGAACTTACATGCAATTATTTTTCCAAAAGGTAGTTGCTTTTTCAGATCTTGCATTAATTGAAATAACTTGATTTGGAACACTCTACATATAATGTCCACCCTGTTATCATCACCAGATTGTTCTATTAAGCGAAGCATTTCATTTATTTCGGGCCACTTTGGATTGCATGTGAAAGTGAGGAACAAATCTGGATATCCAGCCCACCTGCAAATTGCCATTGCATCTTGATAATTTTGTGCCCGATAGCGAGGTCCTCCGGTGTGAGATGAAGGTAAGATAACTTTCTTTCCTACCAAAGAACAATCTGAATCACCACGAAGAATGGCATCCATTAAGCCAGAGTAAAGATCAGCTCTGAGTTTTGGTTGATTATTCCAAATATAATGAAATCTTTCTTCCTCGATTGCCAGGTAACCGTCAACAATGTATTGTTGTAATAGTCTACCGGCAAGCAAGAGTGTCTTACCCTCGTTAAGTCTTTGTTGTATTCTAAAGCAGTAGAAGTCTCTCATTGTTAATTTTTGTCGCTTGTAAGTCTTGTTGATGACATCTCCCAAATTTATTCCAACTCTATATCAATCTTCACCATAAGGGTGTATTAGTGGATATGTCATAGACATAAAACTTGGGTGAAGATTAGAAATTCTTTGAAGTCAATTTTTCCTATGCTCTACAATAATATCTCGCTGGAAGTTTTCTTCCGTAAGATCACCCACTATTAATCCAGCTACTTCAGAAGTTGTGGGTAAATTATATTGTCGACCATCCGTTGTTCTATTAGATAGGAGACGTAGGCGAAATTCACGTTCAGGATGCTCTTTATATCTATCTCTAGCCATTCGAAATGTTTTAACCAATATATTATGCTCCTCCAACATTACTGATAAGCCCTGAACAATTTCAGGATCAATGTCTCCTTCTAGCAGACAATTCATTCTGTTGTTTATCTCATTTTCAGTATCATATTTATATAGCTTAGCAAACTGGGGTCTTTTACCAATTTCAGGCAATAAAGATCCTATACGATGATAATTCTGACCACACATCCTGAAAATGTATGGCCCCTTTGAGTTATTGATAGATCCATCAACTCGGCCACCCATGGATGTAAATGCAAACATTGAGTTATAAGCTCTAATATTTTTTCGAAAATTAATACCTAGTTGCCCTGATTCTTTACCCAAAAGATACTTCAGATAAGGTGGTGGTTCCCTCAATAAAGGAAGTTGTACACGACCTCCTCCCATACAATAAAATGAGAATATCGGTCTTGTTGTTTGTTTTGTTTTTGTTGTTCGTTCTTCATACCATAAAAGAGCTCCACAATATTGGCATGTGTACTTTGGGGGGCCAAAATTCCAAGTTGTTGTGTAATGGCCTGTCAATTTGAACAATTAAATATAAACATAATCATATAGTTAGCTAATGATTTAGTCATTCAGTTTCTTATATGAACAATCAATCAAATTTTGACATTTAGATAATAGATAAATGAGGATGCATATTACCATACCATTTTGATGAATGGAAACATGTCTGCTTGAAAAGTTTGTCAACTTCGCCAACTTTGTGAATCTGTTAACAAAATGTATTAGCTGTACTATTAGTCTTTTTGGATGATTCTTGTATTGTTTTTCAATCAAAGCAACTTTTCGCTTCAATCTGGAATACTTCCATCTGTTGTTTTTGAGAGAGCCCAGTTCCTTATTCACTCGACTACACTCGCCTGTTGATGCATTTGTATTTTCTTTTTGCTTTAGCATTTGTTCGAGGGAAACTAAATCTTGTAGTAGCTATTGTAGGAGGTTAAGTTCCATCGAAATATTCAATGATCCATTGTATTCTTTAATGATAGCAGATAGAAATTCCATTGAACCTGTTATATTTGTTTTGATAGAATATAAAATGTTAGCGGTAGATATTTTTGGCTATATCGAAATACAATATACCCGAGTGATATGTGTGTGAGAGTACTTGCTTGAATCGTAGCTTATCTGAAACGCAATATGTGTTCTAAATAATGTTATTCAAGGAGAGTAGGAATGAGTATACCATTCTGCTATTTATTTTCATTCAACTGGTAATTTTTTTAACTCATTTATCATGATCATGAAGTTGTCTGTATTTGTGGGATGGAATATTTAAGCCATAGAAAGCAGATTGCAAGTATCCTGCAATATATTCAGTAGTTGACCACCATTAGTTGTAGTGCAGGCATGAAGTTTCATGTATTCTAGTCCATGAATTTATCTTTTCCACCATTGACAAACCCAAGCTTCTTAGTCAGGTAAACTATAAGAGGGTACATATGCTTACAATACTTACTTGAAGTTCTGCTTAGTTTATTGCTTGCTCTTTGATTGTTTCTTTTTGTGTGTGTGTGAATTCTATCTGTATGCTGTTAGTGGAATACTGAAGGGAGAGATCACTTATACAAGGCTTTGTAGCATGTTAATTCTATTAACCAACTACTATATTAATATTTCATAGACCTGTGTAAGAAATTACAAAAGAAGGTCGAGTTACATAAAATTCTGTAAGACAATTTTGCTGGAATTCTCTTCTTGTTTTAATTCTCATACATTATATGTGTATCCAGATTTATGGCTTTGTTGCGACAAACCTATTTTAGCTAATAGTTGGAATTGAAGAATAATTGCAGGTTGGCCTTATCAAAAAAGAAAACAAGTAGTTGTAGTTTGACCTTTATCGTCTGTCCATATGTATACAGGATATTGAAGGCATTACAGGTCTCAAAATTCAAGTTGTCGAGGGCATTGCAAGTGTCTTACATTAACTTATTAGCCTATTCTGTTACAGGAAATTTCTTTGTAGAAGTTTAGAGCTAAATCAGCATAATGCACCTTAGAGATATATTAAAGTACTAAATTCTGTAGCATGCTTTAGGTTCCTTGTAGATTTCCTACATTCGATATGCAATATAGTGGACAACTTCTAGGTGGACTATCTTGTGCTGCCTTTTTGTGTTTGGAGCTTCTCTATAAATGATAGGAACAGTCTATCTAAATGAACGATATCCTTTAACTTTTCATGGTGAGGGAAAAATAAACTTTTAGTTCTTCAAAAGTAACCTGAAAAATTATTATTTGTGAAAAGAAGGCTGTTTAAGTACTTATTACATTTTAATCTTTAAAATATTCTGTAGAAAATCTAATGTGTTCTAAATAATGTTATTCAAGTAGAGTAGGAATGAGTATACAAACCACTGTAAATCAAAACACTCACCGAGATGATCTTTAAGAAATTGGATTGCAATGTGTGACTATGCTGCAGCGTAAAGTTTTATCAAATATTAAAAAATTAAATAAATATCGCCCCTTCCTTGAATGTGCACCCTGTTTAATTTGAAAATAAAAATAAATGGATGATCGAATGGTTGTAGAATTTTAATTTGATGAATGAATGTTTGAATGGCTGCAAATTTTGAGTGTGATGAATATGAATATGAATAGAGGGAAGATATGAGAATTGCCTACGTATTTAATAGGAAAGATTTGTATTGATTTTGTGGAGAAAATGTAACTGGATAAGATTGGGAGGATGATTTGGGACTTGGCTGGTCATTTAATAGCATAGATCTACTAAATCATTTGGATGGTATCTGATATTAGCTATAATGTTTCAGTTAATGCACACCTACGAATTTGATATGGAATGTCATGTGCTGGATTAAACAAATTGATATTATTAACTTTGTTGAAATTTGAGGAAAGCTGCAATCTTGATAGGGATTTAGTCCGTGTTTGTTTTTATTGTATAAAGGTTCAAAGTTGTTTCGGATTCATGAGATTAAGCTTTGTGCCATGGTATTCATACTTAGATTGTTCCTTCCTTGTACTTTAAGTTAACCTTGTAGACTTTTAAGGAAAGTTCCAAGATTGAGAATGGTTTATCTTGTTCTTGGCTTAAACTATAATCTTGTATTGGAATTTGAGATCAATTTTGATATTTGTGTTTGATTTTAATGTTCAATGGCCTACCATAGTTATTAAAAGTCGCTCTGCTTTCTTGTTTAACAGAAATTGGTTCAGTCATATGGTTATAGGCCTGCTATAAACAGAGAAAAGCTGCAAACTGCAAAACGAAAGGGGAGATGACATTTTGCCCACTGCTTTTGGAACTCTAAATATTTAGGCATGTGAATCAACTACTGCTTTACATAAAAAGATAATATGAATGTATAGTAAGTGCCTGCAAAACATCAGAAAACGATATATGCAACATTGGTCTTTGACATGTAACACAAATACACTTCCATAGTAAAGCAAATGTAATTCTTCAGGGTAACATTCAGCAGAACGGGTTCTAGAAAAAACAACCATAATGGTAGATGAACCCATTACTTGAAGAACTAAGGATAGGCAAAAGCAAAGAAAATATGGAGTTGATCATGAAAATTAATTCCTTAGGTTCATACCAGCTGTCCGTTCAAAGTTAATCATCAAATATGAAATGATTCCAAATAGTAATGTCTGCATGAAGATGTACGGAACTTGGACTAACACCTGTTTGCCAAAAAAAAGAAGAAGTTGGTATTAGTAAACAATCTCATCATCTCTTCTAAAAGAAGTTCATATACCATCTAATTGAGTAGTCCAAGAAATACCAACATATGATTATTATATCTGTTGCAACTCGAAGCCATTAAGATGTACTTGATGTGAATGCGCTAACCTGAGCTGCTGCATATGGTAGAGGAGAGTACATTCCAGCAGCCTTCTCCCTGTAGAAAACTGTTCTCTCAATGGCAACTATTGGTTGTACGGAAGAAGCATTATTGACCCCCAGGAAGAAGCATGAAGAATAAAGTGCACCCATAACAACGAACAAATTTTGAGTGGAGTCCCTGTGGAATCATTTCAAGTGTACTGCCCCAGTTAATAATTGGAGAATTGATCATAAAATTGATACAATCAAGGCTCTAATATTTAATCCAAGTTTGGAAACTGAAAGAATGGTTCTAATTGCTAGTTTACTTGCTGGTTTTCTCCCACTATATTATTTTGCATAGTTCTGCTCTTTCAATCTGGCAATCCAGCCATTTTGTCCATAGAAGTTACTTGATGTTGTTTTTAGTGTAGTCAAATATTTTCTAATGATCCTGTCTCTATTACTGATGTATTAGACTCATTATAGACATAGGATCATTGATTTTGGAAGTTCTATTGTACATATGATTTCAGTACTTTCCATGTACTGATGATCTGTTTCTATGACATATATACACAGTTAACAGTTACAAAAAGAAAAAAAAATTATGAACAATAAAACTGACATGGAATATACTCGAAGAAGGGAAAGTTCACGGTGTCCTCTTCTATGTGAAAGCGTTTCTTTTTTAGTCCATTTCAAAGGATTGACAATTTAATATATTTGGTAACAATTTAACTTAAGCTTCCCATTCTACCCCTTAATGACAACTTTAACAGCCTCAAAAATGTTAGGCGTGTTTAAGACCACAAATTTCAAAATTCTTATAGCCATATAAATGTAACGATAAATTTCAAACAATTAGTTTTATAAGTCACACACACACACACACACACACACACACACACACACACACACACACATATATATATATATATATATTTACACACAACACACACATCAACACTCCAAGCATAATCTCACAAGTGGGTTCTGGGAACGGAAAGATGTATGAAGACCTTGCCCCTTTGTGAGCTAGAGAAGTTGTTTCTGATAGCCCCTTAGCTCAAAAGAAGTGTAAGCAAAGAAGGATTGAAAAGAAATAACAAGATGAACAAAGCAAAAGAAGCAATAGGGAGTAGTAAATATTGGTCGATATTAAGAAGAGATATCATGCATATGTTTTTGAATACAAAAGAGCTAGCTATGTTTGCTCCAATACAATGCAAACAGTAAGTTGGCGCCACAGAAAACATTTTCCATGTTTCCAATCAGTTTATTTTAGTGTTCTATGAAAGATATGGTCAGATGTTACGATAGAATTAAAATATAAATATGATATCTCATTCATTTTTCCTCAAATTCTTTTTCTATTGCTGATTGCAAGAGATACACTTGGATAGGCTACTGAACTCAAAATTCAAAACTCTCCATCTAGAAACAAGAGGTATCCTAAATAATGAATAATCTACTAAAGGTACCTTTCAGATGTAAGAGAAATAAAACATCTGTAGCACAAGAATTATCAAGGCCAGAGAGCAAAGAACCCTAAGCCATTGCTAAGCAGCAACCACCTCTTGAGCACATCTAGACTCCAACCATGATGTAGCTGCAACCTTCGTGGTCAAAAACCACCCAGCCTTATCAGGTGCCTCGTGGAATGGAGCGTTTAATTCCTTAAGGTGCGACTCAAATACACCTGCCAGACCTTTCTCGGAATATTTATGTTTTCCATGTCCTGTGTTGATTCCAAGCAATGATGGGAACTTTTCCCCACTTTCAAGTGCTTTGTTCAAGTCATTAACCCAGATGTGCAATGCTGTTAAAGCTGCACCAAGGGAGAGGCTCTTCAGATGTAAAGACCATTGAGTAGCAGTTCGAGACATAATATCTGTATAGATATTGAGAGTTAGTCCAACATCTAACAACTCACAAGATCTCTCCAACTGGTTAAGATTGACACATATGTCAATCAAACAGCTGCAGTACGCTTTCCGGACATCCGTAGTTGCACAATCCAAAAGTTCAGCAGCATGTTTCTTAAAAGCCCCTTCTTCTTCTTCAACTTCATCATCCACCAGGAGTTTCACCATGTAACCAAGCTTCGGATTTGCCCTCTCAAGGCAGATAGTTAGCTTGTGAAGGTCTTCCTTTGCTGTTTGTGTCAAAACATTAAGAAGACAACCAGTAAACCGCTCATCTGCAGATAATCCCAAATCTGACAGCCTATCGAAAGTTCTTACTACATCATCTGTCTGGCCTGCTTTTCCATAACACTGAACAAGCGAGGTCAAGACAAAGATATTCGGTTCAAACCCTGCTTCAATCATCTCATTCAATGTGAATTCCGCCTCCGAGACCTTCCCACTACAAGAGAAGATGGTGATTAGAGAAGAGTATGTCCAGCTGTCAGGTTGGCAAGTCTCTGAGGCCGAGCTTTTCATCTCCTCAAAAATGTTAACAGCCTCATCTGTAAGTCCGACATCAGCACACATTGCCAAAAGTGTATTATATAATACCACACTCAACTCCAATCCCTTCTCCTTCATTTCTTTATAGATTTTAAGAGCATCTTCACTATAACGAGCCCTACCATAAGCCCGAATGAGTGAAGCATAGGTACCCCAACTTGGTTGAAATCCATTGCTTAGCATTTCTCCATAGATGTTCTTTGCCTGCCATGGCCTCCTAGCTCTTCCCATAGCATCCAACAAACTGTTATACACAGTCATATTAGGCTTTACACCAAGCGCTTTCATTTCCTCATAAACATTTCCTATGACCATGTCCTAAGTAAGATGAAAATGTGTCATATCCTATCTAATATCCTCCTCTAGTTCTTCTTCGATCTACCTCTACCTCTCTTAAACCTTCTATAGCCAACCTCTCACACCTCCTTATTGGAGCTCCGCGCACCTCCTCTTTATATGTCCAAATCATCTCAATCTTGTTTCCCTTATCTTGTCAGTCACGGATCTCACTCTCACTGTCTTGAATTAATATGCCTATTATATATTTTAAAAAATCCTTTAGAGGCTCTTACATTGTGACATTTGATCATATCCAGTCAACGACGAGAAGTATGTTTATTCCTAAATGTTATGGAGATACTATCTTCCTCAAAAAAGCTCATTTGAATTTAGGAAGTGCTCATTTGGTGTAATAGTCTCAGGTTGTGGAGTCCAATGATTCAGCTAAAGGCCAAAAGGCTGATCCTAGTGAACCCGATCTTCTCTAGACTCTGAATTCTTGAAGGTTCTGTGAGTTAGCATCCTTGTGGGGGAGATTTATTCACATTTCAATAGTACAATAAGTCCAATCACAGACAACTAGAAATGAATATCCTGACAGAATCCATTACAAGTGTGTTTAACTTATAAAATAGATATCATCATGTTCTAGACTTCTAGTGTTAGTGCCAGCCATATTTTCAAAAATCACTATTTTTCCCCACAATTAGATGATGTCCACATGGACACAGCAGTCACTGTTGGACAAAATGGAAGATTGGTGTTTTTATTTAGCAGAGGAAGTTTCTGAAGTAGCTTTAACAATTATCCATTCATTTAAATAGTTCATTGTTGGTCCGATTGGTGCATGTTCATCAAGAATTCATTCTCTCAGATCCTGAAGTTCTCTCTCATTTGGATTCAGAGCAACACCTTAACCATACTATGTCAATAGAGTTGTTTTAATATGCAGTTGTTTGTATATACCATCACCATCAACAAGGCAAATTGACCGAAATTGCAACTTTGACCTCCTTTATTAGTTAATACAGTACCTTGATATTGTTCAATTTGAAAACATAAATAGTTAATATCAGATATGAAGGACCAGCAAGACAGAACATACAAAACCTTTATATTACTGTCAACCTAATGCATGATGGTTAATTCTTCAAGGATACATAACTTGCATACCAGAGGGTTCTGCACTCCTAATTCAAATTTTCAAAAAGTTCTCAACCCCCAGACCCTCTTTTACCAACAAATAAAAACGAAAGAACAAAGACTGAATGCTCTTGGAGATACTTAAATGTCCGCCCCTTTTATTGAGAAACATCTTTTCAGCTGGACTGAAACAAAAAAACTTTCAGCAATCAACAAAATATAGAACTGAGAATCAGAGCACTCAACGTTGTAAAGAACAACCTAACAACATTATAAGTCGGACTTCTCCAATACACAAGATTTTGCTTCCAGAGACAGATCCTAAACTGAGAAAATGCACCTTGACTGTATATGCTGGTGAACTTTAGAGGTTCTGAGTTCTCAGGCAGGACGCTCAGTTGCTTAATTAAGGCCTCCACTCCCCTAATTTTAAAAAGAGATACAAGTTCTACAAATTGTTAATAAAGGAAAAACGAAGAGAGCAATAAATAGTATACTTCATGTGATGAAGACATTTATTAAGATCACCTGAACTGCTCCGAATTTCTGTATATTACTGCAAAATCTTCTCCCATCCTTTCTTAAGCAGCAGGCGTACTTATCTCAAGCATCCAGGTTGCTGGATTGTAACCACTAGGAATTGGGGGTATCCCAGGAATACTCTACAAAATGTATTCACAAACACGTGCAGCATGAACAATAGCTTTTGAAAAGTGAGTATCCAAAATATAGGAACTATGCCCCATATAATTGAACTCTTCAATAAGGAAAATGCTATCTGTTTCCTTATAAGTACAATCATATTTCAACTGCATCAACAGATGAACAATCTATATATAGAGACCACAATGGAAATATCTTGTGCAATTAAATTAGTAGTAACTACTTCAAGATTAAAATCGATGGTGCAGCAGTGGAATGTGGAGAAACATTAGTGAGGCATCCCAACACCTTTTCACCAAGAAAAGAGCTAGAAGAATCTCCCTCTTAATTTTAATGTTGGAACACACACTTTGTATCTCTTGAAAATCGAGCACAGTTGAATTATACTAAGTGAATGGTGGAGGCACAAGCCCGTACCTGAAAGTAGTCAACCATAGTTTGTGACTTTTCCCCAAGCTTCCCCCCATATATCACTTGTCCTCCACGTTTCATAAGAAGAAGCTACATATTGTAACATCACATGAGCGGAAGCCCTGGCGTTCATGTAACTTATCTATCATAGAAATGCATTGATAAAAGATATTCTGACAGCGTCTGATGGAAATAAAAAGGTACATAGCTTGTGCAATATGTTGAAAGTTGAGTGCCATCTGTTTTGTTTTTGATTCATCATTTAATAAATAACACTCACAGAAATCGTATGTATCTTGACAAGACGCGTAAGGAATTAACATAATCATATAGCTAGATTTACTGGAATCCAAAATGAACCAACAGCCACAACCAAGGCGAACACTGATATGCAAAGGCAAGGCAAGAAATAGGGAAATCTGCAAAAAACATCAAATCCTGAAAAGCAAGAGAGCAAAGTACCTCCCAAATAATGAACCCTTTGAGAACAAGTCTGGATATTTCTCTGTAGGCTAACAAAAATACGAACATTTTGAGAACAAAAATGCATGTTGTATTACAACTTATCATGTACTGATCATCCGTGCTCTGCTTTTCAGGTTTGTCACAACAGAATCTACAGCCATGGTAATACCCCGTCTAAGGTCAATTGCATTCATACCAGCTGCCACTGACTTGCATCCTTCAGCAAATATTGCTCGGGTGAGGACTGTTGCACAAGTGGTAGCTAAAAAAATAGAGAAGAGACAGAATGACCAATTATATTAGGCTGGAAAATCATAAATTCAGTCCAACAAAGAAAGAGACATCAAACTCCCACTGGAGGCTGGAATCGCAGTTGCAGTCTAAGAGTGCAACTATACAAATTGAACAAAACAACCTAAAATACCTTTAACTTTTAAAATCCTAAATTAGTTGCCTTCTTTTAAAGATTATATGAAAGCAACTAATGTTTTGAAAAAACTGAAGTGAGATCAAATTTGTCGGATTCATTGTCCACTGCAAGCTAAATTAGTATTGAACTGTTAGCAGAAGTTTTAGTGCATGTAAACACTATAATGGTTGGTTATTATTTTTGTTCATGTTAGTGTTGTTGCTGTCATCAATATTATGTCTCTTAAGTCATGTGAATCATATCATTTTGTTTTCATTTGAAATGATGATACATGATGAAACTTATGAACTTTAGTATCTATTTAATGAGAATAATAATGTTTCTTCAAAGCCCAACAAAATCACGAGGAGGCAATCATGTATATATCCCACTTCAGCAACTACGTTACTTCAAGGCAGGCTTTCTTAGTTTCCTATCCATCCAAAGATCTTTAAGCAAACTACATTAAAGATAGTTGGTAAGGCAATGAAGTTAAAAGGGTGTATCACAAGCAATTATTAGTTTTATATGAACTCCATGCAATTTCTTTCACTTATAGACTATTCATGACTCAACCAATATCCCTGAAATCAACTTCAAGACATGTTAGTATGTGAATTGAGCATGTCATTATTTATGAAAAGAAGCCCTTTTGCTAACGTGTTAAAGCATGGATCATTTTCTTGCATTAAAAACCTCCCCCTGAAATCAACTTCAAGACATGTTAGTACCGTGAACTGAGCATATCATTTATACAAAAGGCCTTTCTAGCAATGTGTTAAAACATGGATGTTTCCTTTCTAAACCTCACACTATTGACTACTTTAAGACATCAAGGCTGAAAAACACAGACCTCATGGGGTAGGCCCCATAATCTTCGAGCATAAAGATCAGACTCAGATGAAACGATATCCGCTGGTAGCCTCTCAGTACCTCGAGGGTTTGATGGAGCCCAAATCTGCAATATTTGTGCAAATAGCGTAAGTCTTGAAAGGAGGTATAAATTTCCAAGAGACTTGGCATAATCTTATCTCTATATAACTAAAGTTGACCCTCAATATCTGATAATAAAATGGAAACAATAAAATTGTAGCACCAAAGGCTCAAGAGAAGCTGCTTTGAGCTCGTATAAGAGGCAAATGTTATTACCTTTGTGTCGGAATGCTTGTGGTCGTTTGCCTTCTGGTAGTATTAAATTGGATAATTAAGAGTTAATTATGGCTATTTAGTGTGATGTTTTAAATGAGGGGTTACTTTTATTTTGGATAACAACACAGATTTTTATTAATGAAAAAGATAAAATAATAAAAACACAGATTTTTATTTATTTAATTAAAAAGGAAAAAAAGGATTTTCAAATGGTGGCCATTGGGGGCTGCCACATCAGCGATTTTGGATTCACATTTATATATATATATATATATATATATATATATATATATATATATATAGATTTGAAAAATAAAAAAAAGCTTAAATCTTAAGTTAATATCTAATGGTGGGAGTAGATGATAAAAAATAAAAATAAATATAGACAAGAATAAATTAAAGTTCACCGGCAACAATGAAAAGAAAGCTATGTTAGTTGATTTCAATGGAGCTCATATCTCAAGCAAAATATTATAAAATTAGTGACTCCAAATCAAAAAAAAATTACACTCATAAATATGGACGTAAATGGTCAGAAAAGATAATATTTACGAAAAATCAATTCAATCGCTGGTAAAATCGTGAATCCAATCAGATCTGGAATCTCTCAGGGGTGACATTGGTGGTTTCTAGTTGTACTCGTTTGACAGAGTTCTGGTGGTTGTTTTCGGTCTGCTAAGTGGTTTGTGCTCCTACTAGAGCAACAATTTTGAGCCAAAACACCTTAAAATTAAGAAGAAAATGTAAAAGGGGAAAGGGAATAGGACTGGTCGGTTTTGGGTCTTGTTTGGAGTTG